AACCATGTGTAGGTTTGGTCATGCGAAATTGGCTGCGGGACTTCCTCATCAATCGGAAATTCTGCATCCGTGTTAGGAAATCACTATCCACGTGGTATTCCGCTTCCAGTGGGGTATCTCAAGTCTCGGATCTTGGTCCATTGCTCTTTGCAGTATATGTGAACGACCTGCCCGGTCAGCTGTGCAGCCAATCGCTCGTGTATGTGGATGACATCAAAATCTGGCGTACAGTCAAGGGTTTGGATGATTGGAGTTTCCTTCAAGCGGATTTGAACAACCTGGCTCAGTGGGCGGATACCTGGGCTCTTACAATCAACACAGCAAAGTGTGCTCACCTGCACTTGGGGTGTGCCTTAGAGGTAGTCCACAACTTTCAGGGAACCACATTGCACAGAACATCATGTGAACGAGACCTGGGTGTTATGGTTGCGTCATCACTGAAGACCCGGGAAAACACCGATCGTGTCTATAATAGCGCATGGAGCATTCTGGGGCCTATTCGGCGGTCTTTCAACCAGCTCACGATGGACGATTTCAGACTGCTGTACGCTTCCCATGGTAGACCAAAACTTGAGTATGGTGGTGCGGCGAGATACCCCTGCACGGCAGGTGAGCTGGATAAGTTGGAGCGTGTACAACGTGCTGCCACTAGACTCGTTGTTGGACTACGTGGGACCAGCTATGAAGGTCATCTACAGGTTACTGGTCTGTTCCCAACTGCGTATCGACGCCTCAGGGGAGATATCATCTGCCTGATGGAGATCCTAAGAGGTGATATGGGTCCGGAGCTGCAACAGTACTTCCTTTTACGGACAGAGCATCGCACGCGGGGGCACTCTCTCACGTTGCGGAAACTACAGTCAGTTGGTCTTCCGTTAGTCTACCGACTCTCGCGTAGGTCAACAACACTCTGGAATTCCCTTCCAGTGATTGTGGTGAAAGACAAGACAGACGCTGCTCTCAAACGGCGTCTGAATGAGCACCTGAAGGGGCTATGGATGAACGAACACTTGTGATCGGACCTTCGACCCATTGGTGATGGGGCTTACACGGGCACCCTGCCCTCAATCCTGAAGACAGACATATCGCTCAGTGTCTCAAACCATCGGTGGCCATGACCTTGGGGTTCCCAACTAGGTAGTCTAATGGGACCTATGTGACCCAGTCTCGTGGTTAGGGTTGCATATTCTCACGCCAGGTCTTCGTTTGACCGCCCTCGACCTTTATCCAACCACTATTAGCCTCGGCTAATATCGCACGCCGTGGTAACCTATCTAGTGACATGCGAAACACATACCCCAACCAGCGTAGTCCATGGAAGTCGCCTACTTACTCGTGCAGCACAACAGCGAGATTCATCGAAAGGTTCTGCGGAAGTAAGCCATGTGCGCTTAGTTAAACAACATATCTCTTCTGAATCCTATAAGACTGGCAGACTAAATGTGGCAATTTACTTCGGCTAGAAATAAATCTAAAAGGGTTTCCATCTGAATTTGAGTACTCCAACCGTATTGCAGCCTCTTACCCGCGACATGACCTAGCAACTTTGAAGGAGTAAACTGTCAAAAGGTGACTAAATACCAGCTCGTGCTTCAAATATCATTATTTCTACCACGGTTTCTCTGCTCCAACTTGCTACCATCAAAAGGCCAAGCGCTCCAATTTTACATGAACGGTGGTTAGATGTAACCATGTTACCACCCAGAGGAACGTGTGTTCGGACGCCAGTACCCTAGTCTTACTTGTAGTATCTCCGTTTTTCATGGCAGCCATTCAGTTGGCCGTTTCATCGTTGCTGAAATTTAAATCGCTTTCTATTCCACGAAATGAAGTAGAACGAAAAGAAGAATTACATTGCTGTGTGAATCCACTCTTTTA